GTTTGTGGGTTCAAGTCCTGCAATGAGCTCTGTGCTGACAGCTCAGAACCTCGAGCCTGCTTCAGATTCTGTGTCTCCCTCTCTCTCTGCCCCTCTCCTGCCCGTGCTCTCTCTCTCAAAAATTAAAAAATAAATAAACAAACAAATAAATAAATAAATAAACATTAAAAAAATAAATAAAATAAGCTTTAAAGCTATGGTATTTGAAACAATGTAGTATGGGACCAAAGATAGACAAACTGACAATAGAACAGGGAGCTTGGAAACCCACACATAAAGAGATACTTGAGGGGCACCTGGTTGGCTCGGTGGGTAGAGTGTGCAATTCTGGATCTCGAGGTTGTGAGTTCAAGCCCCACATTGGGTGTAGAGATTACTTAAAAATAGTAAAATCTTTACTATTAAAAAAGAAGATGCTTTATCACAAAGGTGAGACTGGTGAAGGAGAAAGAATGGTCATCTTTAATAAATGTGCTGCTCAATTGAACATCCACGTGAAATAAATATTCTGAGCCCTTGCCTCACATGGTACATAAAAATCAACTTCATGTGGATTGTAGCTCTAATCGTAAAAGGTAAAATGATTAAGTTTTTAGAAAACGAATAGAAGACTATCTTCATGACCTTGGGGTAGGCAAAGAATTCTTAAATTCTAAAAGCATCGGGGCAACTAGGTGGCTTAGTAGGTTAAGCATCTGCCTTCAGCTCAAATCATGATCTCATGGCTCGTGAGTCTGAGCCCCGCGTCAGGCTCTGTGCTGACAGCTCGGAGCCTGGAGCCTGCTTTGGATTCTGTGTCTCCCTCTCTCTCTACCCCTTCCCTGTTCACACACACACACACACTCTCTCAAATATAAACAAACAGTAAAAAAAATTATAACTTGTAAAAGCATTAATCAAAAAGGAACAGAAAACATGGATAAATGGACTTTAGTAAAATTAAAAATCTTCCCCTTTCACCAAAAGATTCAAAGTGAAGAGGCAAGCCACAAAGGGGAAGATATCTGCAATACACGTATCTGGTGAGAACTTGTATCCAGAAAATAGAAATATCTCACAAATCCGTAAAAAGGTCATATATCCCCATTTTTTTTTAATTAAAAACAAAAAAAGACTTGGATGGGGGACTTTCCAAAAGAAGACTGTTGGGGCGACTGGGTGGCTCAGTTGGTTGTGTCCAACTCGTGATTTTGGCTCAGGTCATTACCTCACAGTTTGTGAGATCGAGCCCCGTGTAGGGCTTTGCACTGACGGCTCGGGGCCTGCTTGGGATTCTCCCCCTCCCTGCCTCCCTCCTCCTCCCCCCCATTCAAAATAAATAAATAGACATTTAAAA